TGAACTAGAACTGAACTAGAACTGAACTAGAACTGAACTAGAACTGAACTAGAACTGAACTAGAACTGAACTAGAACTGAACTAGAACTGAACTAGAACTGAACTAGAACTGAACTAGAACTGAACTAGAACTGAACTAGAACTGAACTAGAACTGAACTAGAACTGAACTAGAACTGAACTAGAACTGAACTAGAACTGAACTAGAACTGAACTAGAACTGAACTAGAACTGAACTAGAACTGAACTAGAACTGAACTAGAACTGAACTAGAACTGAACTAGAACTGAACTAGAACTGAACTAGAACTGAACTAGAACTGAACTAGAACTGAACTAGAACTGAACTAGAACTGAACTAGAACTGAACTAGAACTGAACTAGAACTGAACTAGAACTGAACTAGAACTGAACTAGAACTGAACTAGAACTGAACTAGAACTGAACTAGAACTGAACTAGAACTGAACTAGAACTGAACTAGAACTGAACTAGAACTGAACTAGAACTGAACTAGAACTGAACTAGAACTGAACTAGAACTGAACTAGAACTGAACTAGAACTGAACTAGAACTGAACTACAACTGAACTAGAACTGAACTAGAACTGAACTAGAACTGAACTGGAACTGAACTAGAACTGAACTAGAACTGAACTAGAACTGAACTAGAACTGAACTAGAACTGAACTAGAACTGAACTAGAACTGAACTAGAACTGAACTAGAACTAGAACTGAACTAGAACTGATCTAGAACTATACTAGTAAAAAACTAGAACTGAACTATAACATACAAAAAATATGCATTCATGTTTGTACACATACATATGTATGCTAAAATTTTTACATAAAAATAGATGTTGTAATTTTATAAAAACATTTTAATTTACACATTTTAGAAATCGTGTAGTTTTTCTAATTAATAATTTTGCTTCATCTTCGTGTAACGCATAAATTGTTGATTGTAATCGAAGAACTTCTGATTTGGTATCAATTCACAATTGATTCCATAGATGATTGATTTTTTATTTGCGGGGGGTACTAGACGATTTTGATCATTCAGGTAGAACTAAAAAACGTGTTAAATTCTTTTTTTTTTTTTGAATTTATGATTTGGATTTGTGTATTTTTGAAAATGATTGTAATACATATAAGTTAAAGCTCATATTAACAACTTTTGATTTAATGTTGCAATTAATTACAAAGAATAAGATTTTCTTAATAGAAAAGGTTTTATTTTATAATTAGTAAAAATATGAAATAAATATGCTTTCAGTTAATTCTTAACCGCCTCCGGTGGCACTGGTTTTAATTTAATTGCTGCGCTTTAGAAAATTGTTTCAGTTTTATGATTTTATTAATTTCCTTATTGTTTTTTAAAAGTTCGAATATTCACGTTTTTGTCACACCAAAAAATATTTAATTGCAAAAATTTAAAACAAGTTTGATATTTTAATTACTGTTATCAAAGAATTCACGAGCGAGGTTTCTGCCAATTTTTTATTGATGTATGTATTTAATTTTGATAATGAAAGTAATATTTAAATATAAGCAAACATCGAATTTAAGAAAAATATTGGAAATTTAGTTAAAATTTCAAAAAAAAAAAATTACAATTGTGAATCAACTGTTGCCGCGGATTCTCGTTCTGTCTTAGTTCGGTTCTAGTTCTGTTCTATTTACGTTCTACTTCTGTTCTAGCTCTAGTCTGTTCTAGTTCAGTTCTAGTCAGTTCTAGTCAGTTCTAGTTCAGTTCTAGTTCAGTTCTAGTTCAGTTCTAGTTCAGTTCTAGTTCAGTTCTAGTTCAGTTCTAGTTCAGTTCTAGTTCAGTTCTAGTTCAGTTCTAGTTCAGTTCTAGTTCTGTTCAGTTGTTCTAGTTCTGTTCTAGTTCTGTTCTAGTTCTGTTCTAGTTCTGTTCTAGTTCTGTTCTAGTTCTGTTCTAGTCTGTCTGTTTTCTAGTTCTGTTCTAGTTCTATTCTAGTTCTGTTCTAGTTCTGTTCTAGTTCTGTTCTATTCTGTTCTAGTTCTGTCTAGTTCTGTTCTAGTTCTGTTCTAGTTCTGTTCTAGTTCTGTTTAGTTCTGTTCTAGTTCTGTTCTAGTTCTGTTCTAGTTCTGTTCTAGTTCTGTTCTGTTCTAGTTCTGTTCTAGTTCTGTTCTAGTTCTGTTCTAGTTCTGTTCTAGTTAGTTCTAGTCGTTCTAGTTCTGTTCTAGTTCTGTTCTAGTTCTGTTCTAGTTCTGTTCTAGTTTTTCTAGTTCTGTTCTAGTTCTGTTCTAGTTCTGTTCTAGTTCTGTTCTAGTTCTGTTCTAGTTCTGTTCTAGTTCTGTTCTAGTTCTGTTCTAGTTCTGTTCTTCTAGTTCTGTTCTAGTTCTGTTCTGTTCTAGTTCTTTAGTTCTGTTCTAGTTCTGTTCTAGTTCTGTTCTAGTTCTGTTCTAGTTCTGTTCTAGTTCTGTTCTAGTTCTGTTCTAGTTCTGTTCTAGTTCTGTTCTAGTTCTGTTCTAGTTCTGTCTAGTTCTGTTCTAGTTCTGTTCTAGTTCTGTTCTAGTTCTGTTCTAGTTCTGTTCTAGTTCTGTTCTAGTTCTGTTCTAGTTCTGTTCTAGTTTGTTCTAGTTCTGTTCTAGTTCTGTTCTAGTTCTGTTCTAGTTCTGTTCTAGTTCTGTTCTAGTTCTGTTCTAGTTCTGTTCTAGTTCTGTTCTAGTTCTGTTCTAGTTCTGTTCTAGTTTCTGTTCTAGTTCTGTTCTAGTTCTGTTCTAGTTCTGTTCTAGTTTCTGTTCTAGTTCTGTTCTAGTTCTGTTCTAGTTCTGTTCTAGTTCTGTTCTAGTTCTGTTCTAGTTCTGTTCTAGTTCTGTTCTAGTTCTGTTCTAGTTCTGTTCTAGTTCTGTTCTAGTTCTGTTCTAGTTTCTGTTCTAGTTCTGTTCTAGTTCTGTTCTAGTTCTGTTCTAGTTCTGTTCTAGTTCTGTTCTAGTTCTGTTCTAGTTCTGTTCTAGTTCTGTTCTAGTTCTGTTCTAGTTCTGTTCTAGTTCTGTTCCTAGTTCTGTTCTAGTTCTGTTCTAGTTCTGTTCTAGTTCTGTTCTAGTTCTGTTCTAGTTCTGTTCTAGTTCTGTTCTAGTTCTGTTCTAGTTCTGTTCTAGTTCTGTTCTAGTTCGTTCTAGTTCTGTTCTAGTTCTGTTCTAGTTCTGTTCTAGTTCTGTTCTAGTTCTGTTCTAGTTCTGTTCTAGTTCTGTTCTAGTTCCTGTTCTGTTCTTAGTTCTGTTCTAGTTCTGTTCTAGGTCTGTTCTAGTTCTGTTCTAGTTCTGTGCTAGTTTCTGTTCTAGTTCTGTTCTAGTTCTGTTCTAGTTCTGTTCTAGTTCTGTTCTAGTTCTGTTCTAGGTCTGTTCTAGTTCTAGTTTCTAGTTCTGTTCTAGTCTGTTCTAGTTCTGTTCTAGTTCTGTTCTAGTTCTGTTCTAGTTCTGTTCTAGTCTGTTCTAGTTCTGTTCTAGTTCTGTTCGTAGTTCTGTTCTAGTTCTGTTCTAGTTCTGTTCTAGTTCTGTTCTAGTTCTGTTCTAGTTCTGTTCTAGTTCTGTTCTAGTTTCGTTCTAGTTCTGTTCTAGTTCTGTTCTAGTTCTGTTCTAGTTCTGTTCTAGTTCTGTTCTAGTTCTGTTTCTAGTTCTGTTCTAGTTCTGTTTCTGTTCTAGTTCTGTTCTAGTTCTGTTCTAGTTCTGTTCTAGTTCTGTTCTAGTTCTGTTCTAGTTCTGTTCTAGTTCTGTTTAGTTCTGTTCTAGTTCTGTTCTAGTTCTGTTCTAGTTCTGTTCTAGTTCTGTTCTAGTTCTGTTCTAGTTCTGTTCTAGTTCTGTTCTAGTTCTGTTCTAGTTCTGTTCTAGTTCTGTTCTAGTTCTGTTCTAGTTCTGTTCTAGTTCTGTTCTAGTTCTGTTCTAGTTCTGTTCTAGTTCTGTTCTAGTTCTGTTCTAGTTCTGTTCTAGTTCTGTTCTAGTTCTGTTCTAGTTCTATTCTAGTTCTGATTCTAGTCCCCTTGTTGTTCTGTTCTAGTTCAAGTCGGTCTAATTTTGGCATCATATGTATTGAACTCACGGAACTTTGATCCCACTTTGTTGGGAAAGTGACGGTATGATCTCAGTTTAAATTTTCCAAACTTTTCTGTAAATAAAAACATTTTCCGCTAATATAAGCATGAATTAACAACTTTGTTACTCCTCCCTCTATGAATTTAGTAATGAAACTTGTAAACAATACATTATTCTTTATATTAGGTAATTAATTAATTGGGCAAATAAAATAATAATTAAATGTGCATAAATTAGAAAACTTATTATTAATATTACTATTTGGCTAATAAATGAAATTTTATGAAATACGTCTAGTAAAAATAATTAATAATTTGTATTTACCCTCAAAAACTGCAGTCAGTAGAAGGTAATGCGGAAATAATTTAAAATATTTAATTAAAAGTTGTATTTTTAATAAATTATTTAAATGTACGAAAATAATTTCATTCAATAAATGTTCATGTTTTAAAACTATTAACGAAACAAAATAATAATATTTATATTTAATCAACTATCTCTGGATTTCTGAGTGTAAAATTAGCAAAAGAAACAAAACAATTAACAAATTACAGCTCATCTAAAAATCAACGACTTAATTGATTATTTATTCCACAAAATAAAAAAGTTTCCATCTAAATTAATTTAAAAAATTAAAAAAACACGCAAATAAAAAATAGTTTGTTTTTATTGCCATGGGATAAACTGCACATGAGCAACGTTTTTTTTTTTTTAGTGGAAAATTATTATGAATGAAAAGTTATAATTGATTTTTAAAAAAAATACGGAACATCATGTCATGATCATAGACACCCGCCTTAAAGATTCTATATAGGCATACGAGCGTGTTCTATACGATTCACACACAAACTTTCCAACTTTCTAATTGTTAACACATGTTTTGATAAAAAATTTTAAAAACAATTTTTTTTAATAAAACACTTTTAATTTATAAAAACTTTATTATTTTATTTACAGATTTTGTTTTGTTAAAAGCGGTCTAGAGATTTTAGTAATTTTTTTGATTTCACCGCTAACGCGCTTCGATACTCAAAGCCGCCAAAATGGTTGGTGTAGCACCCAGTTCGGATGCCGGTGAATTGTCATCGACTAAAAATCCCATGATTAAGTATATGCTAAAGCAACGTGAGAATCATGCCAAAAATCAGGATCACGATTACTCTCATGTCTTTCGCAAGAGAACACGTTTTGAGATGTTTCGTCTATCGGCCATAGCCATGGCTATAGAATTTGCTTATGCTGCAGAGACCTCGTTTGTATCACCGATTCTCTTACAAATTGGCATAGATCACAAGGTCATGACTATGGCTTGGGGTCTTTCACCTCTATTGGGCTTCTTTCTATCGCCTCTTTTGGGTTCTATAAGTGATCGTTGTTACTTGAAAATGGGTCGCCGTAGACCTATTATTACTGTGCTATCATTTGGTATACTTTTGGGTTTGATTTTGGTACCCTATGGCAAGGAATTTGGTCTGCTGCTGGGTGATGAAGGTTATACTTATAATGTTACGGCCACTATAGCCTCAAACTTTAGCATAAACGAGGGTAGTGTAGCAGCCTTGCTGTCTCCCGAACAAGAGGGTCCTTCTCCCTCCAACTATAAATATGCCACTATACTTACCATTATTGGTTTAGTGTTATTGGATTTTGATGCTGATACCTGTCAAACACCCGCTCGTACTTATCTTCTAGATATGTGTATACCCGAGGATCAACCCAAGGCTTTAACCATGTTTACTTTATTTGCTGGTATAGGCGGCACCATTGGTTATGGTATTGGTGGTATTGATTGGGAAAAGACTTCTTTCGGTATGTTTGGATTTGTATTTTACAAGTCATTCCAAAAATAATTGTTATATCTTTTACTTTTAGGTACATTTTTGGGTGGTAATATACCTACAGTATTCGGTATGGTTACCATTATCTTTGTGGTTTGTTATTTCATTACCATAACCACATTCCGTGAGATTCCCTTGAAATTGATTGAGAAAGATGAACTATTGAGACCCTTATCGGATGCTGCCATTAAAAAGGAACTGAAGAAGTGTAATTCCAATGTTTTCTATATAGATCAGGTAGGTTTTGAAGTGTTCTAAAATATACTCAAATTTCACATTATTTGGGATGACCGACTACTTTTTGCTTTGATGAAAATAAGGAAAATGTGCATAAGTCTTCCATTCCAGACGTTTTCGATCATTTTTAGCTGGATGAACTTCCTATAATGTATATAGGAACTTCTAGTTGACGGCTATTTTTGGTCTTAGCAGGATTAAGCAGCTTAACACTACTGTATTATTAAACAGATTTTCCTCCATTAGCTATGGTTGGTTTCAACTACTCCTAACTTTCTTCAAAACGAGACTTATTGAAGTTTTTAATGTAAATTTGCCCATATTTCCAAGAATAGTTCCAAATCATGCATTTTGGAGTTTCCATAATAATTTCTCTCCTTCCACGCATTACGATTCCCGAAGTTATGAACTCTCGATATAGACAGACATCCGAGAGTTGTAGTATTTTATTCTTCTTGGACTCAAAGGGGACCATCAAATATCTACTATTTGTAGTACTCCTCTCCTTTTTGAGATGTTCTACTTTCATCGATTTCCGGAGCTAAGACCTCGATTTTCACAAGTTCAGGTCCCAAATTACTTCAAAGACTTCCAGTGTTTGATTGTTCCTGGCCTCAACAGGATTAACCAGAAATACCCACTTCTGACCAAATAATATCTCACCACTTGAGACTATTTATATATTTTACTGACCAAGAAGGGTGCTAAACATTTTACATTACTAACTAGTTTAAACTTTACTCCAATAAGTTCCGGTGTTTTGAATTCAATTAACTTTTCTAGTTTTCAGTCACTAATATAGATTACTAAATGATAATTTCAAATATTACTGATAAAGCCAAAATAGTACCGATTACATCTTCATAATAGGTCACTAACTTCCGTCAGCCTTCTTTGAAAAGTTGAAGGATTAAGTTTGCGGAATATGGCTTGGAGAAACAGTTTCGTCTTAGTACAATCAATTTCAATTTCTCAAATGTCCTCATGAACCGATAGAACCCATACCAGCTCTACAAATGGTAGAGGAAGCGTTAGGCTATATACGCTGATAGTTGTTAGTTTGACAGCGTAGACTGAGATACTGTTGAAGAATAGTTTTCTTTGTTGGTATTAATATTCGGAAAGTTCTATTAAAGCGTTTACGTCATATGTAATCCATCTGATGCCGCAAAATCATATAGTACCATGACTAAAGCAATCGTATCTTAATGCATCTGAGTCTAAGAGCCAATATAACTGACATGGACTTAATCTTTCTATCAAGATCAAATTAGTTTTTATGTCCACTTCTTTTAACCACACAAGTGTAGCATAGGTCAGTCTAAGTTTTGCTGACATCCATAGTTATATGTCAGGATTAAGACCCCATTTCTTTTCGAAGAGTTTTTTCAAGAACAGAAGGCAGAAGGCGTTTAATTCATTCTATATTTCTGCTCTCCAGCAGGGTAGAGAACAATATTCTATATTATTGAATCATCCCAAACTATTGGGATGGTCTAAAGGGGACAATTTTGCGAAATCCGTCCTCATTTGAATTAGTTCCCATATAAGGTCCCCTTTAAACAATGACTTTAATGCTTATAAAAGTACAAGTAGATTGAAAAAATTATATATAAACAAGTTCTACCAAATTCCTTATGTATCGGCCCACGATTGACTCGGGTAACCCATCTTACTTAACAGTCAAGTCATTTAACAGTCAAAATTTTGAAGATATTCGACAAAAGTGAATAATTTGTTTTTAGAAACTAATCTCTCTTTTGGATGCTGAAGAGTTCGGTCCATAATTGATCCAAACCTCCTTGCAATATTATATAATTCCCAGATGTTCGATCTTTTCCTTAATTTTTATCTTCTTACCTTCTCTTCTTAATATAGACCACAACTATTGAAAATGAAATGGCTGATAATAACGAAAAATATACCGCCAATGGAGGTTATCAAAATGGTAATGCTGCCAGTGGAACTAATGGTGGACAAATGCAAATGCAACAATATTCCTCCAAGGCCATACCCGAACTAGACGATGTTGAGGAAGAGAAACCCATATCTTTGGCACAATACCTAAAGAGTATTTTCGTAATGCCTCCCTCAATGAGAATTCTAGCATTGACTAATCTATTTTGTTGGATGGGTCATGTAACCTATTGTCTGTACTTTACCGATTTCGTGGGTGAGGCGGTTTTCAATGGTGATCCAACTGTGAGTAACTAAAACCTTAAGTTTAACTGATGTTTTGTATTAAATTTATTGGGGTTTATATAGGCTCCCCCTAATTCCGATGCTGCCAATTTGTATGAAGCTGGTGTTCGTTTTGGCTGTTGGGGCATGTCCATTTATGCTTTCTCCTGTTCCGTTTATTCACTATCGGTTACCAAACTCATGAAATGGTTTGGCACTAAAGCTGTTTATATTGCCGGTATTGTGTATTATGGTGTGGGTATGTTAATCTTGGGTCTGTGGCCCACTAAATGGGGTGTCTTGGTGTTCAGTACTTCAGCTGGTATTTTATATGGTACACTCTTTACCATGCCCTATATATTGGTAGCCAATTATCATGCCAAGGATTGTGTAAGTATAAGTTGTATAAAAATTTAAAAAAATTTTATTTTAAATCTGAAATTTTTTGCTCTACTTCATATCGTTTCAGTTCCGTATCCGCAATGGTGAAAATATTCCCTTGAAACAGAAACGTGGTCTTGGCACTGATGTGGCCATTATCAGCAGTGTTGTGTTCATTGCCCAGCTAATTGTTTCCTTGTGCATGGGTCCATTAGTGGCCTGGATGCAAACTACATGTGCTATTTTGTATGCTTCGACATTTTTGTCGGCCCTTGCTGCCATTTCAGCCATGTTTGTTTTGTATGTTTAATTACATACACTCCTAAATAGATGAGAGTAAATACATACATACATACATACGTACATACATACATATATATTAACTAAATTTTAAAAACAAAATATTCCAAACTATATATACATACATACTTTATATATAAAATCATACTTACAGACATAAGTTAAGGACCATAATGTTTAAGTTTTTAAATTTTAATTTCTTTTTTTTTTCGCTTTATTTGTAACAACTATATCAAGGGCTTACAAATTAATATTCGTTAATTAAAAAAAATGTTAAATAAATTAAGTTTATTGTTTGTATTCTTAAGTAGCAAAGTTACCCCGGTAATTATTCATAAAAATTTATTAAAGGTTTATGAAACAAATTTTCATATAAAATTTGATCTATAAACCTTTGATAAATATTTAGGAACAAGACCCATAATATTAGAAATTTAAGGCTCAATATTCTCAATGTCTGGTTATCGTTTTTCGTAAAGTTATATTTTTGCTAGATATTGGAAAATATCCTTAAGTTGAGAAACGTCTGGGCATTGAGAATATGGCGGCAAATGTATTATTTTAATTGTTGTTATTAATAAAAATGTTTTCTTCGTTCCAAATTCTTATAATTTGTTTTATTATGATGGACTGTGATGTATTTCTTTCGGGTTTTTGAGAAGTTTTTGTATTTAATAACTTTTTCCTATTGAAGACAAAGAATCAGAGTCATTACTCTATGAGGATTCTTATAATTTGTTTTATTATGATGGACTGTGATGTATTTCTTTCGGGTTTTTGAGAAGCTTTTGTCTTTAGTAACTTTTTCCTTTTGAAGACAAAGAATCAGAGTCATTACTCTATGAGGATTGTTGTCAAACTCAAAAGGAGATTTCAAAGGCAAAGATGGTGAGAGCTACTCGTTAGGAAAACCTATCATTTACCAAATCCGATTTAACGGTTTCAATTTGCTCACCAACCTGTCAAATATACGTTAACTGTTATTCATCATGTTATGACGCAAATTGTGAAGTCTCTCGGTTCCAAATAGCCCTATAGGCATAATAAGAGCCTTTGACAACGCTTCATATAATACTATAGAACATGAATGCATTTTCTGATCAATCCATTCCAACTGTTATCAGAAATGTTACTCTTGAAATGCTAACATCAGGAGTCAATAAGTTTGTCCTCTGTTTCCACAAATCGGGAACATACGAACCACTATAGGCTATCATCTAGGAGACAAATTACCGGCATTTTTGGGTATACTGGTCATTGACAGTCTACTTGAAAAACCCTCTGAGGAAATCAAATGCTTAAAGAATATTCTCGATAAAACCCTTAATTCGAATCTCATGTATAGAGTATGATCAACAAAGATATGAGATTATATTTATGCTTGTCTAAGACTATTTCATATAGACTTTTTCTATCATATTGACCTAATCTTGCCTTGGCATGGTGGCAAACGGTAGTGCAGGTCATACGGTCTATACGAAGGCCAGAAGAACATGTCCTACATATGTCATTGTTGATGTTCTTCCCATTCCATTTTTTAATATTCATTCTGAAGAATAGGCCAGTAAATCGGCAATTCGCCTAACGGACCATTCCTAAGGTCAAGGACAAGAATCAATGGTTTATTGTTGGGTCCAAACAAATAGATGGAAAAACTATAGCAGGCATTTGTGGACCTAGCTTCTAGAAAGCAATCTCCATAGGAAAATATCCGTCAATCCTTTAGGCGGAAATTTACGCCTTCTAGGGAGTTCGTGAGGGGTTTAAGAACTTACATTATGTCTGATAGCATAGCAGCAGTGCTCAAGGCCTTACTGTCGTATGAAGTAAGGTCGGGTGTTGCAATGGACAGTATGACATCATTAAATGAATGAATAACAGTATGATGGAAAACTGAACATGAGGGTCATTAAGCCAATGAGCAGACTGACTGCTTAGCAATTTATCAGCCCCGAAACCTCCTTTGGTATCTCACAAAGAGATAGATGGGAATCGTGGGTCGAATCGGAATGCATTCGACAATAGAACAGTCTATAGTCTTGACTATAGAACAGTCTATAGTCTTGACAATAGAACAGTCTATGGTCTTGACTATAAAACAGTCTATAGTCTTGCCTATAGAACAGTCCATAGTCTTGACTATAGAACAGTCTAAAGTCTTGACTATAGAACTATATAACAGTCTAAAGCCTAGACTATATAACAGTCTATAGTCTTGGCTATAGAACAGTCTCCAGTCTTGACTATAGGATAGTCTATAGTCTTGACTATAAAACAGTCTATAGTTTTAACAATAGAACAGTCTATAGTCTTGCCTACAGAACAGTCTATAGTCTTGACTATAGAACAGTCTATAGTCTTGACTATAGAACAGTCTATAGTCTTGACTATAGAACAATCTATAGTCTTGACTATAGAACAGTCTATAGTCTTGACTATAGAACAGTCTGTAGTCTTGACTATAGAACAATCTATAGTATTGACTATAGAACAGTCTATAGGCTTGACAATAGAACAGTCTATGGTCTTGACTATAGAACAGTCTATAATCTTAACTATAGGACAGTCTATAGTATTGACTATAAAACAGTCTATTGGTTTGACTATAGAACAGTCTATAGTCTTGGCTATAGAACAGTCTATAGTCTTGACTATAGAACAGTCTGTAGTCTTGCCTACCGAACAGTCTATAGTCTTGTCTATAGAACAGTCTATAGTCTTGACAATAGAACAGTCTATAGTCTTGACTAAAGAACAGTCCATAGTCTTGACTATAGAACAGTCTATAGTCTTGACTAAAGAACAGTCTATAGTCTTGACTGTAGAACAGTCTATAGTCCTGACTATAGAACAGACTATAGTCTTGACAATAGAACAGTCTATGGTCTTGACTATAGAACAGTCAATAGTCCTGACTATAGAACAGTCTATAGTCTTGACAATAGAAGAGTCTATAGTATTGACTATAAAACAGTCTATAGTATTGACAATAGAACAGTCTATAGTCTTGACTATAGAGCAGTATGTAGTCTTGCCTACAGAACAGTCTATAGTCTTGACTATAGAACAGTCTATTGTCTTGACTATAGAACAGTCTATAGTCTTGACTATAGAACAGTCTGTAGTCTTGAATATATAACAGTCTGTAGTCTTGACTATAGAACAATCTATAGTCTTGACTATAGAATATTCTCTAGTCTTGACTATAGAACAGTCTGTTGTCTTGGCTATAGAACAGTCTGTAGTCTTGACCATTGAACAAACTATTGTCTAAGGTACAGTCTATAGTATTGACTACAGAACAGTCTATAGTATTGACTATTGAACAGTCTTGACTTTAGAATATTCTATGGTCTTCACCATAGAATAGCCTATAGTCTTGGCTATAGATCAGTCTACAGATTAGTCTATAATATTGACTATAGAACAGTCTATAGTATTTACTGAAGACCAATCAGAACTATTTTCACCTTTTTAATATGCATATTTTTATTTTGAAACATTTTATTAATTTTATTTTAAATTTAACGTTTTTTTTTTTGTTATTAAACTAAACATATGGTAACCTAATTTTAAATTAAAAGCTTTATCAAAATATATTTAAAAAGCTTTTGTAAAACTTCAATTTTAACGTATGTATATGAAATAATAACTAACTAATTGCCAAAGCTTTTTGACAATATGACACAGTATTATCGACAGTAATCAACAGAAGAACTGTTTTATCGACTGTTGCTAAAAAATTGTACTTTAGGTTCATTATAAACATAAGTTTGTATATACATATAAATAAAATTTTAACGTTTTAGGCTCAAATGCCTACGAAGAAGTTTTATGTGTCATTATTAGACTCTAAGACGACACTATTTGTATATTGAAAGCACTACTTTTTGAACGGAAGAGCTAGATCATATTTATTCTGTATTGTTGCAGTTTGTATGGTATTGATATATCGGTCCACGGATTTCAATAGCCCCCCGAATAACACTTAAAACAATCATAAATAATTATGTATGTTGTTAATGATGTTTAAGTATTGTTAACAATAAAATCAATATTTATTAATAAAATTAAATAAATGCTCACTTAAAACAAATATGTATGTATATACGTCTGTTTGTGTAAATGTAGGTACTTGAGATCGTTTTTAAGCTTAAACCGCTCTCCCTACTGTGTTTTTAAATATTTGTTTGAACAGGTTTGTTTTTTTTTGATTTGGTTCTAATAACAAGATGGTACGATTTTTGATTTCAGGAACTAAAATGAATCATCATATTGATATGGAATAAGTTTTAAACATAAATATTAATTTGTTTGTTCTATTTCTGTTTTAATTTGTATGATTTCTAACTTTTAAACAAATTGGTGGATGGTAACAAACGTAATCTGGATTCAATATTTACGAACGATGAATGAATAAGTATAAGGAAAGAAGTGTATAGAGTTGACTATGAAGTAGTCTATAATGTTGACTATAAACCGGTCGGTAGACTGTAAACACCATATTATGAACTTGGCTATGGACCCGTGTATAGTAATGCCTATAGAACAATCAATAGCACTGATTATAGTCCAGATTTTGACTGTTGTTTAATTGTAGTTAGTCTATAGTGGGTATAGAATAGTATGTAGTATTGCCTGTAAAAAAACTAACTAACTAACTAACTAACTAACTAACTAACTAACTAACTAACTACTAACTAACTAACTAACTAACTACTAACTAACTAACTAACTAACTAACTAACTACTAACTAACTAACTAACTAACTACTAACTAACTAACTAACTAACTACTAACTAACTAACTAACTAACTAACTAACTACTAACTAACTAACTAAACTAACTAACTAACTAACTAACTAACTAACTAACTAACTACTAACTAACTAACTAACTAACTACTAACTAACTAACTAACTAACTACTAACTAACTAACTAACTAACTAACTAACTAACTAACTACTAACTAACTAACTAACTAACTAACTAACTAACTAACTAACTAACTACTAACTAACTAACTAACTAACTAACTAACTAACTAACTAACTAACTAACTAACTAACTAACTAACTAACTAACTAACTAACTAACTAACTAACTAACTAACTAACTACTAACTAACTAACTAACTAACTAACTAACTAACTAACTAACTAACTAACTAACTAACTAACTAACTAACTAACTAACTACTACTAACTAACTACTAACTACTAACTAACTACTAACTAACTAACTAACTAACTAACTAACTAACTAACTAACTAACTACTAACTAACTACTAACTAACTAACTAACTAACTAACTACTAACTAACTAACTCTAACTAACTAACTAACTAACTACTACTAACTAACTACTAACTAACTAACTAACTAACTACTACTACTAACTAACTAACTAACTAACTAACTAACTAACTAACTAACTAACTAACTAACTACTACTAACTAACTAACTAACTAACTAACTAACTAACTAACTAACTAACTAACTAACTAACTAACTAACTAACTACTAACTAACTAACTAACTAACTAACTAACTAACTAACTAACTAACTAACTAACTACTAACTAACTAACTAACTAC